TGAAGCACGTCACTCTCACCAATCTCATCAAGATTTGTTAAAGTTTGGCCTTCATCATTTTTAATTGTGAGAATGCAATTAATATTCCGTCTATGTTTTAAGGTGGCATGGAAGTAGTTGGTATTTCTATCGCCCGCAGTGAAATGGAGATCATTGGCTTTTTGTTGCAAAAGACCTTCTTCAATGTTAATGGCATCCAATAATTTCAAGTGCGCTTGAGCAGTGAGGTTAAACATCTCAGGTGAAGAGGAAGCCTGAGATTCCAAAAGATCAACCTCTTCTTGGGCTTCCAGGACTTTAGAGTGCACATTACCAAAAATCTGATGGTTCCATTTTCGAAGATGTGCAGCTAATTTTTTATGGAGTTGCCAGAGAATATACCAAGGCGAGCCAGCTCCATCAAAGGACCAAACCCGTTCAACAGTGCTAAGAAAATTTTCATGAGAAGCCCAAATGTTAAGAAATTTAAATTTGGAGAAACTAGGTTTATCAATAAAAGCAAGAGTAAGAAGAATAAGATTATGATCAGAAGAAGCATAGCTAAGGTGTTGGACTTTAGAGATGGTGAAATAATTAAAAAAAGCTGGGTTTGCAAAGAACCGATCAAGTCGTTGTTGGAGAAAACCTCTCCTCCAAGTATAAGGAGAGCCAGAGTACCCCAAATATATATATAGATACACACACACACACATACATACATACATACATCCATACATACATATGAATGGTCGGAGGCTATTAAACGAGCCCCGGACATCCCTAGGTGTGCAAAAAATTCGAGTACCACACCCTACACATAAGGGGATTTGAACCCGAGACCCGAGGGGACTTGCAACATTCAGAGAGGCTGCTCTACCAACAAGCCACGAAGCACGTGCGTGTGTGCCCCCCAAGCGCGTCATTGAGAATAACACCGAGATGTAATACCACTAAAACGATCTGAGATAACACCAAACATACTTTGAGAGTAACCGTAGAGTACCACCACCGATAACACCAAAAACGGGACAACACCAAAAAAAAAACGATGCTTAGAGAATAAAGTCGGGAATAAAACCAGCTATAACACCGAAAATACCACCTCCAGAGCATGGTAAATAGCCCTAGATACACCACCAAATTGCAAAAAATCTCTTCTAATGAGCCAGCTGTAGACATTCATATGCTATTTGTGAGGTAGTTGGTTCCAGAATGGAAACACATTATAATTTATGCATCCTATTAAGATGGAGGAGCCTCAAAGGGAATTGGGATGTGCAATTCCCCTCACATTCCAAAAAGGTTAATCTTGATGAGTGGGCTTTCCTCCCCCCTGGTTCTGAAGAGGGGTTCCAACAACAAACAGTTACGTGGGCTTCCACCCAAAACTACCAAACAATCATTATATAAATTTCTGAGTTCCAGCATTCCTTTTTTCTTCTTCCTAGCTTTTTGAACTTATCAACCATCTTCCAATGATTATCCCAACTTGTTAAGTAGTTTATCATCAAGGGAAATAGATTCAGCCTGCTGCACAGCTTGAACTTGGCACTCCTCCAAGATTTGAGTGTCCACAACATCAGCAATAAGTGGTTCCAGAGCCAGTGGAGTATCATTTCCCTCCAAAAGGAGAGTACCTTCTTCTTCAGCAATATGTGGTTCCAGTGGGGGCTGAATTGGTGAGGGATTCCCATCACGGGCAATTGAAGCTGTAGCAATATCCTCTCTAGTTGTAGTGTCCACCATCACAACAGGTGGAATAGATGGTTCTTGACTAGTGTGGTGAGGCACTTGAGGGTTGGATCTCAGATTGGAGTGGAGTTTGAAACATTTGTCAAGTGTGTGTCTAAACATCTAGCAATAGGTGCAATAATATGGTCTTTGTTCTATGACAATTTGTTGTCAATACCTATTGTGTGCAATGCCTAGCCAAATTTCATCAACTTCAGGTAAAGTGATTTCTCTTTCTACAAGAGTCCTAGCAACAGAAGGCCTGGTAAAATTGAAAGTGGTTATGTCTAGTTTTATATGTCTCGCCCTAATAGAGTAAAGGACCTGGTGGTTGAAAAGGTGCAGCTTAAGACAAGGTAGCTTAAGCCATATTGATAATGCAGGCAGTTCTTGGTTTGGATCAAATTCAAGAGACCACTTGAGAAACTTCATAGATATTTCTTCAATGTTGAGGTATTTCTTTGAGAAAAGCCTGACATAGCCTTCACCCTTGTTCAATTGTATCATCTCAGGTCCCTCATTAAAGAGACCCGTCTTTCGTTGCCCTACTAGTTTGAGATCCTCAAAAGCTTTTTGAATAACCTCCATTTTGGGATTCCCCAATTGAAATTTCTCAATGAGTGTGAATTTTCACTTTTCAGCCAGGATGGAGACTTCAAGCTATGAGAATAAGAGATATGTTTTACCCCCATTCCTACTAGCCTTCTTAACAAATGGACAGTCGTCTTTCCCTTCGAGAGAATCATGATAAATTTGAAGAAACACCATATGCTCCGCAGGCTCCACAGAAACCAAACACTTTCCAAGCACATCAACAAAGGATGCTTTACCAAGGTTCCCAATCTAGGGAGGAGGAAACACAGTAGCCATATAAGTAAGGGGACAGTCGAAAACTAGATCCCAAGAAACGATGATAAAACCACAAAAAACAACTATAAAACAATAAGAAAACTAATTGATGTCGTGAAAACACCAAGAAAATCATAGTGAATACCACCACCAGGCAAAACTAGTTGAAGCACCATAAAGTCACCAAGAAGAAAAGAAACTCTAGCAGAGTGTTCGCCATTTTATTATTATTATTATTATTATTATTATTTAAAGTGTG